ACCGATCATAATGATCGACATATAACTCCCTCCCAGGGGGATGGACAACAGAAAAGTGGGTGAAGGCAGACATCAGTCAGTGTAGGACATATTCAGGAATATATATATAATAAATATGAAGTTTATATATACATAGTCAATATTTAATATTAATGGAGAGAGAATGAGAACTTTCCCATTGAAATCAGGAACAAGACAAAGATACATACTCTACTACTTGTATTTAATATTATATTAGCCAGAGCAATAAGACAGGAAAAGGAAATAAAAGATCCCTATATTGGAAAAGAAGTAAAACAATAGCTATTTGGGGATGATATGCTCTTACAAATATAGAAAATATCAAAGTGTCCAAAGAAAATTTCTGGGGCTAATAGAAGTTGCAGGTACAAGGGAGGGGAGAAATGAGGAGATAGAAAGTTTTCACTGATGAAAGGGTTAAGGTTGCATAGCCAATTATTGCAGTTGCTGTCAATAAGCTGTTCACCTGTCAAAAGTTGGATTGGAAAAAAGTTGAATGTAGATAAATTGTCCTTATGATTGTAAAAACAAACATGAGTATCTGCCTGTCGAGACGGCTTGCTTACATGCAACTACAAACTCAGGGGATTTGGTTTCCTGCTTAGGAGGATTAGGGTCTGGGTTTCATAGGACATCCTTCCCAGTTGGCTGGTCTGGTAACAAGCTTACCATATATACTTGAGTATAAGCCAACCTGAATAACAGCCGAGGCACCTAATTTCACCACCAAAACTGAATAAAAAATGTGCTGAAAAACTCAGTTTATACACGAGTATATATGGTAGCTCCTGTATTTGACCTTCAATTGCACTGCATAATGCCTGGGGTCTTCAGGATTTCCAAGAAGCCACCTAGGGCACAACAAATGTTCTCGATTCAGAGGAAAGAGTCCTGGGAATTAAAAAAAGGGCACGGAATGTGCTGATAACCTGCTTTCATGAACAACCCCTCCTTTGCCTTCAGTCTTGGTTACCATCACAGAACATTTTGATCAGAGTCTACAGAAGAATTCTAATCAAAAGGGGGAAAACACAGACAAGAACTTCAAATTCTTTTGGTCTCTAGACTTCCTGGAGCTAAGAAGATTGTACAACTCAGGAAACTACTGCCTCGAGATGATCTTTAAACCACAAACAAAAACAACCCCTAAAGTCTTCTTAAAACAAAACAAAAAAAAATTAGCTTAAATAATGAAAGTTGTCTGCCTTGAGCATCATGTGCTTTTAAGAATTATTTATATTGGATCAAAGTGAAAAGAGCAACTTGAAAGATTAAATAGGAAACTTAATGATTTAATGTTAACAAGGGAAGCACAACTCAGGAACGGAACGGGCCGGGCGGAGGGTTGCACACCTTGTAGAATGCACTCCATGTCACAAAATGGTTTATGTAGAAACTGCTGGCTGGGTCTGTGTTTGCGGCATATATTCTCAACTCCAACAACAACAGCCAATCAATAGCAACAATGACAGATAATGGGCCGCAACTGAAAACAAGTCATACGAGTTGGAAACAACAGGGACAGGGTGGAGAGCATGTTCTAAAGAAAGAGCCAACCAGATGTCCTTTCTGGACCTGACTGGCATTGACTTAATGGCAGTGAGGTCTTTTGGTTTGTTTGGCTGGTTTACTGGGTATTGAAGGAGCCCTAGTGGCATAGTGGACTCTGTATTGGGCTGCTAACTGCAAGGTCAACAGTTCAAGCTCATCAGGAGAAAGATGAGGCTTCCTGCTCTTTTAAAGATTCCCAGCCTTGGCCGCCCACAGGGCCGCAGCAGCTCTACTCTGTTCCATAGGGTCACTAGCAGTTGGAATTGATGACAGCTGAGTTGAATTAAGGGATATCATGGAAGGAATTCTGTCAAGTGTGATGCTTGTGGGCATTGGGGGGACAACAGGGAAGATCCCTATTCTTGAAAGCAGCACGCATGCGCACAGGTTAGGACCCGCATGCCACTGTCAGTCTGCAGGCAAACGGGACGAGTTTAACCATCGAAGACTCTGGGTTACAGGTGTTCAATGCTCTGATCTGTCCTACCTTGTATGTCTACTTGAAGCCTTTCAAGGACATACTGGGAGAACGATGGGACTTTCTACTCCAGTAAAGAGTCCAAGCACTGGAAACTCACAGGGCAGTCCTCCCCTCTCCTACAGGGTCACTGTGAGTCGGCTTTGACTCAACAGCAGTTAGGCTTTAAACAAAGGAAATATTAAAGCCAAGAAAGCAAGCACATAGAGAAAAAAGGGGGTGGGAAGGGCACTGAGCTATTTCAGCTCCAGAAACACTAAGCCAAAGAGGTCTCCTAGGGTTGCTGAACAGGTAAGATTAAATGTGGGTGGTGTAAGGTGACAGCTTTACTTATAAAGTGAGGGTTTGGAAGTTTCCTTCTGAGGAAAAGACCAGTCAAGTCCTTCAACGACCCAAGATCGCTGCTGAGGATGCATGAGCACACTGGGCACAACGTCAGAAACCAACCGACTGACCAAGAGACAATTCTACCACAAGGAGTCCTGGTGGGTAAACCGCGCAGCTGCTAGCTGGGAGGTCTGCACCTGGACCCACCAAGCATGCCGTGGGAGAACGACGAGGCAGGCGACAGATCCCAGCCATGGAAACCCTGGGGCCGTTCTACTCTCTCCTCCGGTGTTGTTATGAGTTGGAATCAACTGGACAGCAATGGGTTTGGTTTTGCTTCTAAAATCTTTAGGGATGGCGCAAATGGCAGAGCACTGGACTACCGACCTAAAAGGTGGCAGTTAGAAGTTACCCACCCAAAGGCGCCTCCGGGGAAAGGCCTGGTGATCCACTTCGGAGAGATTGCTACCGTAGAAACCTCTATGGGAGACAGTGCTGCTTTGACACACAGGAGGTGGCCAGGGGTCTGAATGAAAATCTCCGGCCATCACCAACAACAGCCAGGGCTCTGTTTGCTTTCCTTGGGTCCCTTTAGTGTCCTGGCATCTCCTCTCTGGCCTCCCACTAAAGTTGTCCTAACTATCCCCATGTGTTTCCTTATCCTCTGCTGTCACCTACATGCCCAAGAATGTGCCAAACTTTAGCTGCAACCTCTTAGGCCAGGGGGTGTGGCTGTAAGGTCTTCACCCCAATTGGGCCTGACTCACAAAGCTGGCATCCCAAATTGAGTCAGCCATCTCACTCCTCCTAGGTCTGACCTTCCCACCACATTCTCTGATTCCTCTCTACTGGGTAGTTGCAAAAACAGAAAGATTCCTAAGGCCATCCCAACATGGCTTCTATAGAGAGCTTTTCAAGATTCCGCTCCTTGTCCTGATCAGGCAGCTGGTTTCCACAGTTCCTATTCTGATGGGAGAAGCTAAGGAGGGAGGCAGGAATAACACCCCAATAGAAGCAGCCTTTGGTTTCCTAGAGTCAGTGCATCTCGAGACAGGGAGTCAAGAAGGAGCTCCATGTGAACTCCACTCTGGCCCCCGAGTCCCACTGTGGGTTCTAGTTTCATGGACAGGTAGGGGAGGTGGGTGTCTCAGATGACCACCACCATCATCTTGATAAGAGTCCAGTCTCTTTCTAGAAGTGTCCAGGAGAAAACACTTACTTCCTTATATTGAACCCAAACTTCCTCCTTTTGGCTTCTACCTGTTGCTCTAGGTTCCATGCCTTGGGCCTGGTAAATCCCTCTTCTTTCCTCCGGGCTCTTATAAAAACACCACACTCCAGGCCTGCGGGCAGCAGCACAGGACTAGCTCAGAGAGGGAGATGGTGGCCCCTCGGGGAGCCTGAGAGGAGCCCCACACATCCCCTGGGCCCCGCTGTACCTTCTTACTTTCTAAACGTGCTACATCCTTTCACAGCGGCTTTGATGGAAGACTGAGTGACAATCACATCGCAAACCTCTGTATCTGCCTGGAAACAAGCTCGCTCGCTCACTGCCACTGAGTCAATTCCGACGCAAAACAACCCTACAGGACAGCGCAGAAGAGCCCCCATGTGTTTCTGAGGCTGTAAGAATTACGGGAGTAGAAAGCCCCACCTTTCTCCCTCGGAGCAGCTGGTGGTTTCAAATGCTGACTTGCGGTTAGCAGCCCTGCGTGTCACCTCTGCCACCATGGCTCTCACCTACAGGACTAGACAGCCTTCGCTTTCTCCTGCACCGGAAAGATCCACGGCCCTTATTTCTCATGAATATAAAAGAGAGCCCTAGGGTAAAGGCTTATGTTCGGCATGAAATAATAGAAGAACTTACCTCCCCTTGGAAACTCTTCAGCAGTGGAGCTACCTGCTTCCGCAAATCCTGGAGCAAGAAGGACGGAGCGGGAACCAGCCATGTGGAAAGGAAAGAGGGGGAACATTGTTAAGGCTTCTGGGGAAAAAACACTTCTCGTTTATAAAGGCAACCTGGCACATCCCATGTCCCCTCAGACCCGGCTCCACGACTGAGATGAATGCGGTGAGAATGCAGGGCAAGAGCATGGCCCGGATGCGACTGGGTCTGCCTGGGACGGGCAGGGAGAGGCACACTCGGTTCCAGGGCTGCCACGTGGGTGCACACACCCGCCTGACGTGGACTTGCATTGATCACACTCACTCTCGCTGTCATCGAGTAGATGCCGACCCCTAGCAGTTTTCTAGGATGGAGTCGACCTGCCTGTGAGTTTCCGAGGCTGTCACTGTAGAAAGCTCCACCTTTCTCCCAAAGAACGGCTAGTGGTTCTGAACTGCTGGCCTTGAGGATCGCAGCCCAAAGCGTAACGACTATGCCACCAGGGCTCCTCTTGCAGTGGCCAAGGCAGAGACTTATCCATCACACCGTGAAACAGGTAGTAAAGGCATGGTTCCAGGGAAATAGCCCCAAGGCACTGAACCGATTCCGAAGGGGGAAATGGTGAAGGTGGAAGGGGGCAGGGATGAGCAGACCACGGTGGAGAAGGAACAGGGGAGAGCAGGGTGTAGGGGTGCCAGAGAAGAGGAGTTTAGGTGATGTTGGGAGATGTACAGGCCCCAGGAGCCCTGGAGCTAAGGCCGAAAAGCAGCACCTTGTAGCAGGCGTGCTCCCTGCTCTGTCTCCAGAGCTGCCCCCTGGCACAGGACCAACTTGCGAGGAGCACGTCACAGTTGGGAGGGGGTTGCCACTGAGGTGGTCCCGACCAACGGCACCCTGCATTCAACAGGAGGTCCTGCGCGGCCCTCAGGGAGCACAGGAGGCGACGAAACGACTTCCACGTACGTTGGCCACGGGCTCACACCTAGTAAGGGTGAGTTGGAAGGATGGCCGGAGGAAGGAAGGCCTGGGCGGGATTTCGGTCTGTTGTCCATGCAATTTGACTGCACCTGACTGGACAGCATATTCTACTACGGCAGCCCAGGGAGGGAGCATGGTGACAGGAACGACAGCCATCTTTCTGCTGTCTTCTGCTGGTTGTAGGGGCATCTCAGCCAACCACGGTGCTTCAAGAATCATCTGTGAGCACTTCGAGAGTCATCTATCAGACACTAAAATAACCTGCTGATTACACACACACACTCAAAGACAGGGCGAGAGAGAACCACATTCCCACGTGTACTTGCAGACTGATGATCTGCACACGCTTCGAGCCAGCAGCTAAAAGCTAGTCCTTCTCAATGTGTCCTGGGCAATTTGAGAACAGCCTTATCCGAGTCTGCGGCCCACACAGGTGAGCTGGATGGCAGGCGGGATGCTCCATTCCGCGACTCCTCGTCACCCCAACTGCCCCCGCGGCTCAAGCACCTCCTGCCCGCCACATGCTGCTACCTCCCCAAGCCGAAGCAAGCATCGTGTGCTTCCGGCATGACACGAGTCTAAGGGGGGTAACCAAAACGTAGAGGTTGTACACTTCATCCAGTTGCAGGTTCGTCCATTTTCCCAGGCCCTGGCTCGTGTACTGGGCAAAAGGCAACAGGCACCTTTAATGCGTGGAAAGTTCTGTCCTTGAGCTGAATGCTATGTTCAGTGGCAGTTGCTGTAGGGGTGAGGGTCCACCAGAGGCCCTCGCACGGCTTAACTCTCTCCCGCCCCCACTCACACGAAGAACCGGGGGAAGGAGGGGCAGGCCGTGTGACTGGGAGTCAGATCTGTCACGTGATGTGAATTCCGTGTGGGTGACCACCTGCATTCTCAAAATCATAAAATCTCTCCAGTTTAAACATGATACAACCCAGCTTTTCCCAGGCGTCTTCATGGCTACAAAGCCTTGACTTTCACTCCACTGCAGCTTGGGTGTGTGTTTCTCGGCAAAACCACGGAGGGAGCATTTATCACTGGAAACTGGCCCCATCTCCTGGCAGGACTTCACTGTCTATGGCAGCTGCCCAAGGGTAGGGGGAGTCCTGGTCTTCTTCGGTGACAGTAGGGTTTTCCCCAGAGCACTGGGGTGCAGGGTGGGGGCAGCGGGGTGAACTCTGAAAGGCTGGCTCTGTGATGCTTGCAGAGTTGCCGGCAAGCTGCCCTGCCCTGGATGCCAGCAGCAATGACTTTACTGGTTCGACTGTCACCCTGGAGTTCAGAACAGCCCTCAGCCCAGGGATGACACCCAGTTTGTCCTCTGGTCCTTCGTTTCAGTGCACATTTTCTTTACTGTGCATGGGTGGCTTGCTGGGGGCCTAGCCGAAGTGTAACCCTGGCAAACCTTTAGGCATTGGGGCGGGGTGGTGGTGACCATGTCACACACCCAAGCCTGGAACTATTACCTCCAAACGGGCCTACTAACCCCTGGCCTTCCCTCTCAGGACCCACCCTCAAAGCAAGAAGACTGTGCCTGAAACACTGTAGGTATCATGTGTTTGAAGAGCATCGTTATGCAACAGAGCTTATCTCATGGAATGTCCCGCCATCGAACATAAGATGTACCAACGCTACATGGGCGGGGAAGCTATTTTCAGTTCCTATTTGGTAAAAGGTCTATTCAAGTCCATGTCGGAACATAGTTATGGAGAAGAAGAAAGAACTGGGATCCCATTAACAGCAAAAAGGCCCACCAGGTCTACGTGACTGCCCCCAAGAAGGAAATGTAAAAGCTATTGAGCAATGCCTAATGCCAACCCTGAGACTCCAGGGTCCACGGATGGCTACTGTCACTGGCTGCTGGCAAGTTGGCTGCCAGCTCCCAGGCTAGCTCAGTCACACTGGGGTGAAATGCTGCCTGGCCCCACGCCTTCCTCGGGATTTCTTCCGGACAGGGCCAGGGTGATCCGGAGGCTTTTCGATGGCTGACTGGGGCCTTTCTTTCTAGCCCTTCACTGCCTGGAAGCATCACATCAGCACGCAAGTCTCCCCTGGGAGACAGACCGGATTGCACATGAAGAGCGTCCACCGCTGAGCCGCCACGGCCCCATCGAGTTGGTCCTGACTTGCCGTGACCCCTGGACGACAGAAGGCAGCACTGCTCGGTCCGGGGGAACCGTCGTTGCCGCCACGTGTCAATCCTTTTTTGCCGAGGAGCTTCCTTTTGGGTGCTACCTTTCTACTTCAGCATGATGTCCTTCCAGGGACGGGTTTCTCCTGACAGGATGTCTGAAGCACATGAGGCAAAGACTGGCCATCCTTGCTCCCAAGGGGCATTCTGGCTGTCCTTATCCCAAGACAGATTTGTTGGTCCTTTCGGCTGTCTGTGGTACTTTCAGTATTCTTTGCTGGTACCATCATTCAAGCACATTTGATTCTTCTTCAGCCTTCCTTATTCAATGTTCAACTTGGGCCAGGCACACCCTAGTCCTCAAAGAAACAGCCTTGCATTCTGTCTCAAGTGGGCCTGACTCGAAGCATTCTTACTGATAAACCACCTCTTCTACTAGGAACTGCTGTGCCCATCTGTCATGTGTAGTTTTACAAGGCAGTTGCAGGGGGAGGGCCAACAAAGAGAATCATCATGCTTCTGGAAGGGAACATGTCCTCCAGACTCCAGGGACTTCCCTGGACACCCCCCTCTTCTTGCAGGGCAGGACTCGGACCAGGTACAGGGCTATAAAACACCTGACAAGATATTGTGTGTGGTCCACTGACTGTGGAGCTCGGTTTAAAATGAGGTTCAGGTGAAATGGAAGCTTCTCTTTTTCCTAGGGTGCTGAAACCTTCACTTCTCATGGCATCAGTAGCCGATGAATCATGCAGTATCAACGGAGCATCAGACTTTCGTTCCTTTTATAGAGGAACATACAGTCATCCAGGTTTTGCGAGGGAAAATGGGCCTTTTAAATGTCATTTAAACTGAAGTGTTAAATAAATTTAAATATATGCATATATACCTCTTTCTATACAACAACAGACAGTATGTCCTGGCAAATTCTTGTAGCTTTTAGTTCAGAGACTGGAGAAAATTCCATCAGCGTTAATTATTTATCAGCAGTCAATTTAGATTATTGCTCTTGACCTATTTTCACAGTGATGGGCCACCCAGCAATGAAATAAATGAGTAGTCTTTTTCTACAATAGCTGATTTTCTGAAATAATAGAAATCTCGTTTAAAGGAGCAATGAAACCCCAAACATGTAATTACCACAATACATAACCTGCCAGGCCGCCTTTGTAGCTGGATAAAACACACATCTTTGTGAGGGATTTTTTTTTTTTTTTTGGTTATTAAATAAGATTATCTTGAAAGGGATAAACTCACTCATGCTATAATTTCTCCCCATTTAAATTTCTTTGCTCCGTTTGAAGCATGTTCTGCAGCTTGGCGGGAAGGCTCTAGCACTGGTGGATGTGCTGTCAGCATCGTACCTAATAAAATGGCGGAATGGGTAGGATTTGGCCTCGTGGTGCTGGAAGGGAGCAGGGGCAGAGAGGAGGCGTAGAGGCGGAGTACCCAGGGGGCACACAGAGGTTTCCTGGTGGTATGGGGCAACATGGGATGGGAGAGGGTGGCAGAGCAGGGAGCCCCACAGAGCCGTGCAGAGGGAAGAGCCGCTGAGCTCCTGAGCAATGCTTCTTCAGTCGGAAGACTTACTTGTTGTTCAAGAGTGGCAGCTTCACCAGGTTGGCTATTGCTCCAATTCGAACCTAAGGTGCTAAGGCTGACGGCGGGGCAGCAAGACAACAGAGGGCAGGCAAGGGCAGCTGCAAAGGACACAGAGGCCAACAGTTCCAGGGAGAACCTCTAGCCCCAGGTAGAAGAGCAGAGAGGCGGAGAAGAACCAATCAGCCAGCACTTCTCCCAGGAGGTGGGTGGGGGGATGGACTCCCGGCTCCAAGTCCCAGGAGGGCCAAGTCATCTGGGTTCTTTGCCTTTTCCACACTCCTCCTCCAAGAAATGTACCATGGAGTCTCCTCGAGACTCA